GTCAGGAGTGTCTCCAGTTGCTGAGAGGAGATCGTGCTGCGGGGAGCTGAGAACCGTAACCGGGGTTGACCAGAACCCGTGGTGGTGGGGAGAGGAAGGTGCAAACGGGCAGAGCGCTCTGTAGTTCGGAGTGGACCCACAGTGCTAGAGTTCTGTGCTTTTTGGTAAATAAAGGCAGGTCTGAAATAAGTAATTTTTGGAGATTAAAATGAACTATTTCTATAGTATTTTTAGAGAGGCACCTTCCCTTTGCCATTGCAGAGACCTGCTGGCCCTCGGATTGGGGCTGGCTGCAGGAAGGAGAGGCTTTGGTTTATCACAACGCAGATTAGCAGGAAAGGCTCCCTCACGCTTTATTAACCAAGTAAATGCTCTGCTTGATCTGTGTCAGTTTGGGCTTTAAGACACAGATTGTATTTGACAAGCTTCAGCTATTGATGGATCCTTTCCTGGGCTGTGTAGGGGTCTTGATGTAGTTTGTTGAGCCATGAGCACAGAAGTGTTGGTAGCTTGATCACTGCCTGTCTCGTAATATACTTATTTGCAGAGTTTGACGATGCAGCTAATTTGCTTGCAGCAAATCCTGATGCCACCACAATAAGCATCGATGAGCCTGTGGAAATCTCCAAGAATCAGCACGGCCGCCTGCAGGAGCCCAGGAGAGAAGAGGATGATGAATTACTGGGGACCGATGACTCCGATAAAACAGAGGTGATGCTCTTGCACCCGCAGTGCCTCCATCAGCACATACACAGATGGTGCTGGCAGCACTGAGAGGTTTCTAGAGGGCACCAGGGCTTCGTGCTGGCTGACTTAAAACTCTGCTGCTTCTCCATCACAGGCTACTTTCTCGATAGCAGAATTGGCAGAAGCAAATGTGTGTTGGCTTTTCAGCTGATGTTGTATGCAGGCCAGGAAATTGTACTGAAGTGGTGATTTAAGCAAGCAAATGTGCCAGGAGATGAGCACAGCAGCAGCTGAAAATAAGTGATATGACAAGGGGGAATGGCTTTAACCTGACAGAGGGCAGATTTAGATTAGATATTAGGCAGAAGTTCTTCCCTGTGAGGATGAAGGGAAGGGACCTGTTTTCTATCCAGGTACAGCTTAACTCCTGTGTAAATGAACTAGTAATGCATAAACTGCATGCTTGTCACATTTTCTGTGTTGCCTTTCCCACCATGTAGCTGCTTGCAGGACAGAAGAAAAGTGCCCCTTTCTGGACATTTGAGTACTACCAGACGTTCTTCGATGTGGACACGTACCAGGTGAATACTACACTCCAGAGGAAAGCTATTGTCTGAACTATGTCTTATCCAGACATTGAGGTTTTTCTTCCTCTTCGCATTTTCAGTCAGGCAAAAATCTGCATGTTTTCACAGGTCCTGGACAGAATCAAGGGTTCAGTTTTCCCAGTACCAGGGAAGAACTTTGTAAGGCTGTATATCCGCAGCAATCCCGACCTTTATGGTGAGTTCGAGGGGTGAGAATTTATCTTCTGTGATAAATGTTGCTAGTTTGTATTTGTTTTTAATTGCTAACCTTGAAAAAATGAGAGGGCAGAGGAGTTATTGAACTTGTTGATTTCATTTTAAGGTCCCTTTTGGATATGTGCCACACTCGTCTTTACTATTGCTGTCAGTGGCAATCTCTCAAACTTCTTCATCCATCTGGGCAAACCAACGTACCACTACGTGCCCCAGTTCAGAAAAGGTTTGTAAGTACTTGATACAGCCCTGAGTTCATGGGTTTGGTTATTTAGTTTGGTTTTTATTTGATTGATTGGTTGTGGCTAATGAACAGGTCACAGCTTTGATTTAGCGGTCTTTGATAGCTCTCTCTAAATCTTGAGATGTGTAACAAGTCCTTACAGTAGGCTGTAACTGACAGAACACCAGTCCTCCAGAGCAGGAAGTAGTTGCAGGGTTTTAGCAGAGCAAGCAGGAATAATTTGGGCCTTAGTGAAGGCACCCTTGTACAGAGGGTGAAAGCCCAGCAGTCGCCGCTGTAGTGCTTTTGTAGGTGCCTTTCTGGATCCATGGCCTCCAAGGGACCTGCAGGCCTCAGACAGAAAATGACTAAATTAAAGCACTACCCATATCACCTACCAAGGGCTGGAAGTTGTTACCTTCTGGCAAACTCACAAATAAGCAAAAGTTTCGCAACTGATACATGCCCCAGGGAGCTCAAAGAGAGGAGCCAGTAGTCTGTAGCTGTCGTTGTGCTGTGAAGGAGGCTGCTGTCCCTGCGGAACCACGTGGCTTCTGTTTGTTTCCAAAATCCACAGCATACTTGGAAGAACGGTGCCTTTTGGGTATCCAGTCACTTGGATCATTTCAGATTTAACACTAGCGTCTCTGTTCTCTGAATTTTTCCAGCATGCCTGCATACTATCCTCATTTTTCAGTAGCTATTATTAGCTGAATTTCTATTTCTAACTAAGTTTCTTTTCTCTGTGGCTCTTCCTTTCACACTGAAAACAGCAGCATTTTGTACATGGGTGTAGTAAAACCATTGAAAATATCAGGAGAATGCTTTCTGGAGTCTTTACTTTTAAACTAATTTGAAGAGCAGGCAAAGTAGTAGCTGTAAACTGGATGTAAACATGAAGTTCTCAGTTTATTAATAATTAAAACTTTATATTTTGAAAGTAACTTCAAAATTAGCTTTCTAGTTTTCAGGCTAAATGCTTCCACCTGTTTGATTCTGGCTGCTATTCTAAGTAAAACATTAAACCTTTTGTTGTGTTTCCAGTGTCCATAGCAGCAACAGCAATTTATGCATATGCCTGGCTTGTTCCCCTTGCTCTCTGGGGATTCCTGATGTGGAGGAACAGTAAAGTCATGAACATTGTCTCCTACTCGTTCCTGGAGATAGTGTGTGTGTATGGCTACTCCCTCTTCGTTTATATTCCTACAGCGGTACGTATGGCCTGAAGAGTGCACCTCTGCTACATGCCCTCCAAAAAGGTCCTGGTTTAGAAAGTTTGCTATTTCTTATAGTATTCTTCATAGTAATCAAAATCTTGGAGTCCAGGCAAATCATTTGCTCCTTTTGCTTGGCTGCGGTAAAGCTTTTTGTAGAAGCTTGCCTAGTGTAAAGATGTCTTGCGGGTCCTGGAAAAGGCCCATTTACCCACAGGCAGCAAATCCAAGGAAGGGTGCTGCTGGTGAGCCTGGCAGGCAGCCCGAGCCAACTTCAGGAACTGGGATGTGTGTGTCCCCAGTTACAGTCACTGTGCAGGATGGCAATGCTGATGGCTCCAAGGACAGGTTTCCATGGCAGGGACCATCCTGGACCACTCTGGCAAGGAAAGGTCCTGGAGGGAGTGCCGTAACTTAGGGGACACGCTCCTGTCATGTCCAGGAGCTCATCACTGTTGTGTTTTCCTCAAGTAACAATCAGATAAAGCATGAGTTAACTTGTGCACAAACTGGCTGGAAGTGTTTCAATGTCACAGAATGATGCATCAAATACCTGAATCCCCATTTCCTAACAATCATTTTCCTCCGTTTTGCAGATTTTATGGATCATTCCACAAAAAGTGGTGCGCTGGGTGCTGATGATATTCTCCCTGTGCCTTTCGGGCTCTGTTTTAGTGATGACTTTCTGGCCTGCTGTCCGAGATGACAACCGCAGGATTGCGCTGGCGACCGTGGGGACCGTTGTTCTGCTTCATGCCCTGCTGGCTGTCGGCTGTTTGGTATGACACTGCCTTCCCTTTTCTCTAACCTGGTATTTCCTGGGACTGCTGACAGGAAAGGAGGAGTTGGCTGCTTGCTGGAAGATCTTTTTTAATAAAGAAAGAAATAGTACTTCTGATAAAACTCCAAAGTAAAAGTTCCATTTATTTTAAACACAGGAAAAATTGATGCCAGTCTGGCTTTGACAGTGCTAGTAACAAACTCCATAATGAATTATAGAATCATAGGATATCTTGAGTTGGAAGGGATCTGGAAGGATGGAGTCCAACTCCCACAGAATCACTTGCAGAATAGTCTTATATTTATGTGGAATTTGGCATAGTATCAGCAAAGCATTAATCTTTATAGTATCCATTGCAGTTTATTCCAGTGAATACTTTGCTTAGTCCTTTAAAATGATTAAATGTTTAATATAAAGTGTGTGCTTAGAGTTTTATATATGAAAATATAAACCTGCTAGAACTTAGTAAAGTACCAGCATTATAAAAACAGGAGACCCTAGTGCTGTTGAAATAAATAATGAGGAGTACTTAAATTATTTGCTGTCTCTTCATTGCAGTAGGTAGAATGGTATCTTCCAGGCTTCAGGTCTGTTCCCCCCTCAGATTCCAGAGTAGATAGATTTGGTTTCCTACAGCTCAGTGTGCACAGAGGCAAAGGCAAAACACAACTCTTGTGTTAGTGGGAGACTTGCAGCTGATTTTTTACAAGGGCATGTAGTGACAGATCAAGGGGGAACAGCTTTAATCTGACACAGGAGACATAGAGATTAGATATCAGAAAGAAGCTCTTCCCTGTGAGGGTGCTGAAGCGCTGGCACAGGGTGCCCAGAGAAGCTGTGGCTGCCCCATCCCTGGCAGTGTTCAAGGCCAGGTTGGACACAGGGGCTTGGAGCAACCTGCTCTAGTGGAAGGTGTCCCTGCCCGTGGCAGGGGTTGGAACTGGATGAGCTTTAAGGTCCCTTCCAACACAAAGCGTTCAGTGGGGCTTCTGTCACCAGAGGCTGCCTGAAGCTTCACAATTTAAAACAGCAAACAGTGAAATACTTGCAATCAGTTCTATGCAGTACAGGCCTTTTTCAAGGGCCTTTGCTACTAATTGTTATGTTTTTAAAGTATCGTTTAGAATGCCATTTTAGTTGACCATTTCTAATCTGGTAAAACCAGAAAAGATCCAAATTTGCCATTTCAGTGCTGTGTTTGTACCTTAGGAAGAGCTGGGAGGAGGCAGAACTGGTTTGTTTGTCTCTAAGCAGTCTTTCTGTCCTCTGTATAACACAGGCATATTTTTTTGATGCCCCCGAACTGGATTTTCCTGCACCTGTCATCCCTGCTCACAATGGAACAACAGTAATAACAAAGAGTCTGTAAATAAGGTAAGAATCCAGTCTAAACTTTCTTCTGTAATCATCACAGCCATCTTGAAACTTTTCCCCATTACTGTGGTTGGGTGGAAAAGGGTTTAACAGACCACTTTTGCCAAATACATATAAAAATACCATTTATTGCAGTTGTAAGTATAGCCATAAAAATGACAAAGACTGAGGAACAAAGACATGTTACCTTTCTTTTCTTGATGTTTACTCTTGGTGAAGAAACACATATTTAAATAATCTACTCAGTCCCATAGGTCCTTTCAAAGATATTGTTTGGTTTGTTTTTTTCCCCTTAATCCCACATAAAAGCCCATGTTTGTTAGAATTTGTACTGCACAAGAATAACTTAAACCAGTAAACGATCACACTCCTATTTTCCTTTCCTCTAATGTTAAAAGTAAATTGGATCTTTTCCCTCTCGATGTTTGTGACCGTGTTTCACAGCAGCACCTCTGTGTCTGGGGAGATCTGTGTATCTGAGCAGGGCTGACTCTGAGCAGAGGCATCCCTATGGATCACATTCCTGGTGTGGGATGGTTTGAGGTTTTGCTTCCTGGTAGCTGGGAGTGCTGCCAGTGGCAGATGACGTTTGAATTCTGTTGGAGAGCTGAGACATGGAACGGGCCCAGGGAAAGGCTGACAGACATGCAGGGGCCACGCTGCTGCAAGTACACCAGCCACATGTGTTTATGTGGAAATAGGAGTTTTTACTGTCTAGAAGCTGTATTAGATTAAAAAAAATAAAGAAATGGTCAAATATGCCCAGCAAAAATGGTCACAGAAAATAACCAGCTGCGACACTTTAGTTTTAGAAGCTTTCCTCCTGCAAAACCAGTTTCTCATCCCAGCTGCCTGTTAAGATTCAAGATGAATTTCAGTATTTAGATAGAAATAGGTGCCTTATAGTGTCCTCTGGTGCCTGGGAGAAGCTGTAACATTCATGGAGTTGTCTCTTTCAGGTTACACCACCATCTGTACAGCAATCTTATTTTGGATTATTTTTCCACTGAAGCCCATGGGAAGTGCAACACGAAGGGCTGTTTTTGTAGAAAAGAGGACAGCGATGTCCCGTGGACGTGAGGAGGCCATCTCCATGCTTGCTGGACACTGGTTCCCTGAAGAGAGTGAACTGTCGATCCTAATCCTTCACACTGGTTTGTCTTTTAAATCCTGCCTACACTCCCCACACCTCCGAATAAAGTGTCTGAAGGCGATTTGAGTCTCATTTTGTGCATGAAATACCCAATACTCCTCCCCTAAAGCTGGCAGGAGGGCTTGGTAAGAGGTGTGGAGGGGAGACGCGTCAGGATCTTGCTGTTGAACCCCTTAAGGCTCTCCCCTGTGCCGCCACGGAGGCTATAAAGCGGTCCCCTCCGTATCCCTGCTGCTTTCCCGGGTCCAGCCCGTTTCCCTCCCCTCAGCCACGTCTTCCCGCCCCTCAGGGCTGGGTAACGCTTCCCGCTGTCCCTCAGGCCAGCCCAGGCGGTGCTGCC